GAACTGCAGGAGATTGTCTTGACCATGTCTACATGCCTAAATGCACTGAGTTGCCGCCATGTGATTGGCTGATTAGAAATTAAGTGTTAGTGAGCAGTTGGACAGGTGTACCTAATAAAGTGACCGGTGAGCGTATAGTGGCAATGCATTTTAAGCACTAAACAAATAAGATAAAGCAAGCCATTCACCTAGTTCTACATCGTCTCCCCCAAGTCACTTGGTTCTATGTCTGCTAATCTTAATCCAATTTAATCTTTATGAGTGGTTTTTAAGTAATTTATGTTACTTTGAATCAGCAGATGTCAAGTTGGCCACAAAACAATGGCCTTCTGTCAGTGTACCCTTAGGTTGCTGTGGCTACAATATAGCTTACTACAATGAGTGTGTGAATGTGTGTATGRATAGGTGAATGTCTATAGCAGGCCGGGCCAACCAGTAGAGAGGGATCTACCGGTAGATCTTTAGCCTGTTAGCAGTAGCTCACAGAGCAATGGATCACGGAGCTTGTAGAACGCAACATCGTTTAACATTGCAGCCCTAAATGCACTCTTGTTGACGCAATGTTTGTTTAACATTGCATTCTTGAATGCACCCTTGTCATCATTTGTTTAACATTGCATTCTTGAACGCACTCCAGTCTCGCGAGTTTTGGGTGCTGTGAAACAGCACTCCAAACATGGTCTCGTGAGATTAGGGTCATGTGTTAAAACATGGCAGTGAGGCGGAAAAAAATGATGAACGAAAGACAGCTAACAAGCAAATAAAAACTTATTATTTTCACCTGGAGTGGGAAGAGGACTCATATGTAATTCGAGCKCTGCCTTGGCTTGTCCAAAAAGAATAACGTGGAACAGCATTTCTTTCAAAAGAATGCACAAACGCTATGAGGCGGATTTCCCCTCCTAAGGTAAGGCTGCTATGCTAATGCAGCCCCATACCTGCCTCAACACACGTCTTTCCGCGATGACGAAGTTATGCAAGAAGCGTTTGATGCTGCAGACGTGCTTTTCCATGATTTTAAAAATAAAAGTGAGATTGTGGCTGCTATGAAGATGTGCAGTTGTCCACCAGGATGGATGGATGTGTCCAAATTCGTRTCCGTGTTTCAGTCTGGACTGCTCTGGGTTGAAAATTAGGTTTTGACTCTGCAAAATGACATTGGGATCAAATCCAGAGCAACAAGTCGCATGGATGGAGAGTTCTAGARTCATCTTTCTCTCACATGAAAATCATCAAGTACAAGAACAGATCCATAAAGACTGGTGATCATCTGGAGACCTGCCTGCACCTCTCATCCACCTCATACTGCTCACCTATGAGACCCTAGCCTCCTCATAGTGTCAGAAGTCCCACTAATGTAGACATACATTTATTTTTATATAGCCTGCATAAAAATTTGTCTCCTCTAGACTTGTCACAGTGTGTCTGTATGTTGTTTTTTTTATTACCACATTTTAGACCAGACTAGTGTCTTATACACTGACTGGCACCTTTGTGTTTGTTATTTATTTATTTTGCAGTTTGGGTGTGCCCTTGTTTTCTCGACCTAACGTGGCTGTGTTTGTGTTTTTTCTGATAGGTGGTGAACAGGTGGAACTCTTTGAATGGCCCTTTGGAGCCGGCAGTCTGGACCAGTGAGGGACTGAGCTCTTCAACGCCGGCAGATGACACCAGCCTGGATGCTGCACAGAGATGCAGGTTTGAAATAGTTGTTGGAAATTTGTGAATCTGCACCATCTTAAGTCACTTTTTGTAATAGTATAAACAAGAGTTTTATATTGTGTGCTTTGACTTTAGTTTTTTTTGTTGTTTTTCCTCCCCTGTATGGAGAGAAAGAGAGGAGAGTTCTTTGAATAAATGAAGACGAGTTCCCTTGCTCCAAAGTTATTTAAGTCTGTGGTTCTCTCAGTGTGCAGGTTGCCAGCCCTCATAGCTCGCACATTACAGGAAGTACTAATTGAAGGAGGTTAAAACAATTGATCCTTTTTGTTCAAGCATCACTTTTCTGTTTCTCTGTCAGGAGTTAAGTAAGGATTTTATCTTTTCTTTTTTTTGTAGGTAAGTATATGGTTAAGTAGATAGTTTTGTTTGATAATACTTTAAATTAAATAAAACTAGCAACACATTGCGTTCTGTTTTATTTACTTTAAAGAGGTGAGGAGTAGGGAGATGAAAAATTATGTTTTTTGATACTGAGGCTGGATGAGTAGATCTCGGCAAACTGCCAACTTCAAAAGTAGCTCTTGGTTCAAAAAAGGTTGGGCACCCCTGGTCTATAGTGTAAAGTGCTTTGGTGTCCTTGGATTTGAGAAAGCACTAAATAAATTCAGTGAAGTTTTTTTCCAATTTCTTTTTAATTTTAGTAAAATTAATTCTACACATTGATCAGATTTTTCAATCTCCTTTTTGTTCCCATTTTAGTAAAACATAACATAATGCACAATTTATGCATCAAGAAACTGTAGGCATGTAAGTGTGATTAAATACATTTTATCATGAATTTTAATCTTTTCCAAGACAATCTGTGTAGTAGTTTTCCACTTACATCCTGTTGCCAAGAGTACAAAAAAACTCAAATCCTCCTTCAGTTCAAGTATAAGTTTGGTTTTTTTGACCAGTATTACAAGTCCATAACCTGGTGGCTATCAGCCTCACATGGCTCTTTGCTCTTTGACCTGTCAATAGAGGCACATCTATCAACTGTTTACACAGTCGATATKTGCACTTTGTCTCCCCTGTCGCCATCCACACACACTGACTTCTGTAAAGATTAGATTTAATCAGAGATCTGAGAGAGTATTTTTTTTAAGTTACGACCGATCTGCTGCACACAAATAACTGCTGCTGAGGACTCCAGTTATRTTGTCTTATTTGAACAATAAAGTTAAAGAGCTATATTATTTAGAGAATTTACATGTTTTTTTCTGTGGAAAAACTTATTTACAATTAATATCTTACCTTTTGTAGACACTGTACCTCTTTTCTACAACCTTAGTTTGGAAAAACTGTTTAAATCCAACAAGTTTAAGAGATAGTCTGAACACTGGCAAGAAATATATAAAAGTTTAGGTTGTTAGCATGAGCCACTGTAACATTTTGAACATTGGATGTTTTTTTAAATGACAAATTTTGCTTTAGAAGTGGGTCTTGCAAGCCATTATTAGYGTGCCATTAGATCCAATTTGCGTCACTTGTAAAGCAGAATTTGCTGTCTTAACGCATTTCACCTAATTTCCCTCTGGGATCAATAAAGTATTTTTGAATTGAATTGAAATGAATTAAATCAAACTAGTTTTTAAAATTTTA